CACACACACACACACACACACACACACAGTGAAGCTCACAGTGTTTCACCCTGATTATCATTAATATAATCAGAAGTTTGTGTTAGAATCAATTCCTTACATTAATTTTAACAGCAGAGTCACATTTATATCAGCATTTATATTTAATACAGTTCTGTGAAGACAATAATGGAGCTAATAATGAACTATAATAACTGATCAGCTGGATCATGAAGTAAAGACAGAACAAACAGGTTACAGACAGTCAGAGAAGCAGCAGAGAATCAGACTTATTGAGGAGACAATCAGACTAACTTCTCAGAAGTTACAGATCAGCAGATCTCAGACTGTAGAAACAGCTTTTACATCTCTTTACTTTGCAGTTTCAATTTTAGTGCTCAGTCATTTTTCCTCTCAAACTGTAAAATATCAACCTGACTGCAGGTTTTAAATCAACAAGGCTGCCATATGAAGGCAGTTCTCTCTGCAGATTGAGCACCTGAGCTGTACCTCACTGACTGACCCTCAAACTGTACCTATACTGAGAACAATTTAACCCTCTTTGTCTCAAACAGCTCTCAAACACACTGTCAGTGCTGTGTTTATATCAGCCTAATGATACTTCTGTAGGTTAACTAGACAGAGGGTGGCCACCAGCCCAACTTCACTAACCCTCTAAATCCTCATTGCTACATATTTAGTTTTCATTGTTGTTTACATCCAAAGTTTCAGCTGTCCTGTATGTTTTTGTTTTTTTTAGAAAGACCTCAGTCAGATCATGGCGTATCATCTTTACTTGTTAACTAGTTCACTGCTGACTTCTAACTCTACTCAACTTCGTAAATGGATGTCTGGACTCGACGCTTTAATATACACCTATTTAGAACCTTTAAACCCTCAGTGGTGCCTCATTGAAGAAGGAAGGGATTTAAAAATGGTTCACAGGTTAAACTATTGTTGTTTACTTTTTAGATCTGAAGAAGATTTTGGACCTGAAAATGTCTGTTACATCATGAGTGGCGTCAGATTTAACAAGCGGATTATCAGTAATGAATAATGTGTTATTCTTCATTACTAATGAATAAACATGAGAAGAGATTGATTTTATTCCTGCAGCAGTTAAAATCAGATAAAGTACATTTAAAGTACATGAACCACATAAACTCTCTCTAAATGAACGACTAACAGACCCATCAGTTCCTCACACAGAGCTTCTTTATTAGAGTTTTACCTGCAGCTCTGAAAAAGACAGACAGAGCAACTTTGAATGAAAACAAAAACAAACAAAGCCTACAAGAGTATAAATATAACATATTATTACTACTAATAATAACAATAACAATAACTTTTATTATTATTATTATTATTATTATTATTATTGTTGTTGTTGTTGTTGTTTTGTTGTTGTTGTTAATTGTATTAGAGAAACTATTAAAATATTTAAATAATTATTATTACAATATTAGATATACTGTTCCCTATTATTCCCATCTATATGTTTGTCGTCAATAATAATAATAATAATAATAATAACAATAATAATAATAATACATATGAAATGTTTTAATTACATTAATTATTATTATTATTATTATTATTATTATTATTATTATTATTATTATTATTATTATTGTTTGTTGTTGTTCTTAATATAATATCAAATATAATTATACTGTTAATAAAACTATTATTTAAATCATTATTTTTACAATATTAGATATTCTTTTCCCTACTATCCCCATCTATCTGTTTGTTGTCTATAATAATAATAATAATAATAATAATAATAATAATAATAATAATAATCCAGTAATTGTAAAATGTTTTAATTACATTATTATTATTTTTTTTATTATTATTATTATTATTATTATTATTATATCATCATCATCATCATCATCATCATTATTTTTGGTGTTGTTAAGTACAAAATTATCATAATTATATTGTCAATACCAATAATACTCTTTAGAATATTTCAAATTTCATATTATCATAAATTCTAAAAATATATTAATATTTTTAAAATTATATTATATTATATTATATTGTACAATATTATCGATCTCTCTTGTAACATTAGATTTTATAATAGACATATGGTGATGATTCATATTATTATTATTATTATTATTATTATTATTAATACAGTAATATTGGCAGTATTATTCTTGTTGTTATTGTTGTTGTTAAGAACAACTTATTGCAAAATTAGCATAATGAATTATATTGTTAATACCCATAATACTCATTATGAGATTAAAAAAATAATTGAACATTATATTAAAATTTAAAAATAATCATATTTTTCACATTATATTATATTAAATTACATTGTAGTATAATATATTATAGATATTTCTTGTAATATTAGATTTTATAATACACATATGATGATCCATAATAATAATAATAATAATAATAATAATAATAATACGTTCTGATTAACTAATGAGGACAAAACTGATGTAAAAATAATCTAAAAATAACACCTTTACTGTTGAATTTCTGTGGTTCTTTAGTGAAGAAGAGTTTCTGAAAAAACTCGCTATTTAACGAACTTTCTTAAAAACATGTTAATGAAGTGATTTTGGGAAACGAACCCAGAATGATCAGCACAGTAAAAAAGCAGGTTACAGACAGTCAGAGATGCTGCAGAAGAGAACCAGACTAACTTCTGAGAAGCTACAGATCAGCACTTTCAAACTCTCAAACGTTGAAAAAAAATGATCTCTTTAATTTGCAGTTTCAGTTTTAGTGCTCATCCATTTTTCCTCTAAAACTCTAGAATATTAACCAATAGAAATGATCTGGAAGAGGAGCAGATTATTATTATAAAGTGTTTAAAGGTCTAACTGTAAATACAGTAACAGCTAGAGTTCTTTAAAGAGTCTATACTGTATATTTTCAAGAATTTTATTTTCTCTTTTGATCCACTTATAACATTTGTGTGAAACAAAATCTGTAAATGAGCTCTGATTGGTTGTCCTGTATCTCATTATAAAAGCAGTGCAGGCTGAAACACTCCTTATAACTTCAGTGTGAATGGGCGGGGCTAAACTGCTGTTGGCTGAATGGAGGGATTTATCAAATGTGTTGGTTTTCCTGACACTTAAAACAGGCTCTATTTACAGCTTAGTTTCCATATATGGACTGTATGACTGAAGAGTGAACAACTTCATCACTGTTTATACTAAATCAAACTTTTATTTGAAAAACAAATTCTGTTTTCTGTTATGTGGCCCTTTGAACGTCTACACATCTTCATGTCTGTACAGAAAATACTGATATACTGTTTTGTCTTATTATGTACTATTTTAAATGTTTGTATTTTGTCTCTAATCAGAGTCTCCTCCAGTTCAGACAGTCTACGTTTCTCAGGTGAGCACATTTATTCTAAACAGACCACTAAATAGACCCTAATGTGATTTTTAAATCTATGAATATAAACATTGTTGTGTGTCAAAGCTGTGCAGGGCTGATAGTTGATAAAGTCTACATTAGTTTATTTTCTTCTTTTCTGTTGATTCTCTTTCATGGTGTTGAGTTGAGTGTTAGTACAGTGTTGATGCTGATCAGTGTTCTGTAAGTGATCATGATCCTCAGAAGCTGCAGAGCTGAACTACTTTTAAAGATGAAAAATAGTTCTTATATAGTTATTAATATTAATATTTGTCATGATCACAGCACAGTCTGACTGTAAAGTCACACAACTGCAAAAACTGATGTATATTATGTTGTTTAAACACAAGTTTAAAAGATGCTGTGATTTTTAAACAATATGAGTTTAAATCAGTTAAACTCACCAGAGTCTCAGCAGTGATTTAAACAGAGAAACAGTTATTGATCACATAACATACAGTATGACATCATCAAGGTTGGGTAATAAGGTAATACATATATTGGCATTATGTAATCTGGATATAAAACTGTAATCAATTACAGTTACAGAAATAAAAGACAGTAATTAGATTATTTTCAAATGAAGACTTTTTCCAAAAGTTTTAATGTTAAATATGACATGAGTGGTGTAGATTTAAAGAGCCTGTAATTTGGAGGAAGGGGAGGCGATCCTGCTGCTGGGAGAGATTTCTGAAGTCCCTGCCCAGCAGCAGTTCACAGTTTTTTATTCAGCCCATCTAAAGCAAATTTAGTAAACACTTTATTTGGATTGTCAGAACTGAGATCTGCAGTGTTTTCCTGAAGAAATCTGAATCAGGCCTTTAGCTCTGGATCTCCACACAGCCAGTAAACTCTTTCTTCTCATTGGCTGCTCTGTAAAATTCTACAGTTTGAAACCTTTGCTAACCTTAACCTGACAGGTTTTAACTAACAGTCTGAAATGTGAGAAGAGCGAAGTCTCCTGAGCAGTAAAGTTAGTTTTATTTTCTTTCTTCAGTGGTTTTTGAATGATGGGTGTAAAGTGTTAATATGTATAAATGATCCTTATTTGTAACTAAGCTGATCACCTCTTCAGATTAATGCCTTTTTAAACTCATAGTGCACATAGATTTCTATGATCTGCTGAAACAGCTGAGAGCTGAGAGGTTTTTTTATTTTATTTTCCTGTTAAAATCTTTTTTTTTTCTGGGAAGTGAAGCTTGATTTCTGAACCTCAAGCTTTGAGTACACCTGTCTAAACTCAAACTAATTATACTGTCATACAAATGTGTCATTTTTATATTTGAAATATTTTCATATAAGGCTCCTCTTAGACTTGACTGTTTGACTAAATGTGAGATCAGTGAAGTTTCTGTGAGGCACGATATTTAGATATTTAAGTCACCTATAATCCATCACTCTGTTTCATAAACAGTGCAGTTTTTGTGTTTGGCATGAGTTCAGTTCAGTTCTTGTTGAAATATTTTTCTCTTTTCTTTATTTAATTATTTGTCCTTAATTAAAAGACCAGTAATCCACAAGTAGCAGAAAGTAATCAGATTACATCACTTTAATATAGTAAACCGTCTGATTAGGTTACAGTTAGTTTTAAACAACTAATCATGAATCTGTAACGGAATACATTATTAAAGTAAGTGACCCAACCCTGGACATCATGTATGAAATCTTCACACTGGTTTTATTCAGAGTGACAGAGAAATGGACAGAAGAGGAGAGACTGAAAATGAAGGATTCTGCTCTGCTGACCGGTGAGTTTTAAAAGAGATACAGCATTAAAATCAGTGACAGTTAAACCTGTTATATTCTAATATTATAATGTGAGCAGGTTTCTCAAAGCTCTCTCATTTGTATTATAATGAAACAGATTAGTTTTTAGTATTTATATAATGCAGTGTTATTAAACTATCACATCACAGACTCTGTGTTTCACTGGTTTTGATAGAAATCATTCAGATCTCTCTGCTGCAGTTTTACAGATTCTTTCTCTGATAACTGTTTAACATCATCACTCTGTTCTGTTAAAGGTCTGTTTTAGAGGATGAGATGATTTAACACTTTGCTGATATAGTTTCAATCAGTTTTTACCACTTGATGTCTTTATTCTTATTTAAAGTATCTGAACTGTTTAAAGACGAATCCCAGAGATGTAACTCAGAGTGGTCTGATTTGGAATAGTTGATTGTATTGAAATTGACTCAGATTTCTTTACAGTGGTGGTGAAAAGAATCAGGGGCTGTAATATCTGCAACACAAACAGAGCGATTTAATTTACTATTTAAAACCTCCAGTAGCTCCCGAGTGGCTCAACCGTCTAAGCGTTGGCTCTGTCATCAGGAGATCGCTGGTGATGCTACAGCCATCCGTAGACGGGCGTCCAAGAGAGCATAATTGGCCTCGCTCTCTCTGGGTGGGTGGGATGCCCCCTACCCCCCTTTGTCCCCCCATCTCCCCCCATCACTCAGCGCGATGCTGGTCAGCGCAGGCGTATGTTAGCTGACGTAACAGATCTGGCGGTTGGCGCTTTCCTCCGAGCGCGTTCAGCTGTCCAGCGACGTTGCGTGAGCGGCAGGTAGAAAAGAAGCGGTGGCTGGTTTCACAGGTCTCGGAGGAAGCCTGCGTTAGCCTTCGCCCTCCTAGCGTTGGTAGTATCGTGTGACTGGGGGGTCCTAACTAGCGGGGGGAACTGGAAACGACAAAATTGGAAAGAAAACTCGGTAAAAATCAAAAAAAAAAAAAAACCTCCAGTAAACCTCCACGTGTCTCCTGAGTTTTTCTATGTAATGTTGATGATGACATACTAGTGGTAAATCTAGTTTACTATGGGGTCATTAAAACTCCCTGAGTTTATCACTCCACCATGGATTAATTAGAATAAAGGATTTAGACCAAAATGTAATTTCAAAACTCAATGTTTCAGGAATCAGACAGTGTATTTTTAACTCAGAGGCATTAAACTCTTGAGTTGTCTGGTTCCCATAACCACCACTGACCAATTCTGACTTGGTAAGTTTCACAGGCAAAGGAGCTTAAAAACTGAATAACTGAATTTAAGAGCTGTAAATACTGTAATTAATCATCAGTGTGATGATCAGCTGGATGCTAAATGTTAAATTAATGTGTTTCTCACAGAGTTACAAGGACTGACCAAACTTCTTAAAGACAAAGAGAGTCTTTTAATGGAGAGAAATGCAGAACTGATGGAAAAAGACAAACAAATCCAAGAGAAAGAAAAACGTCTGACAAAAACAACAGAGACACTTCAGATGAAGGACAAGATGCTGGAAGAGAAAGACAGACATCTCAGTGAGGTGAAAGATGAGCTGAAGCAAACAAAGAAATTAGAGGAGAATCACAGAAAACACATGGAAGAAATGGAGAAAAGACTTGTGGAGAAAGATGAAGAATTAAAAGAGACAAAACAAGAACTGAAAAGATAAAAACACGATTATAAAAGAACATTTAGAGACTGTTGATAAGAGAGATTCATTATTACAGGAAACTAATGAAAGATTAGAAAGTGTTAATAAACAGCTTAAAGATAAAGACTCACAACTGGAGAATCAGATCAAACTGCTGAGAGAGAAAGAGACTCTACTGGAGATCACAGTGAAAGAGGAGGAAAGCAGTAAAAAGCAGCTGGAGACTCTGAGAAAGGAGCTGCAGGACAAGAGCAGCAAACTACAGGAGATGATGATCCTACTGGAACAACAGAAAACTGAACTCACCCGTCAGCAGAAAGAGTTAGAAGAGAAAGAACAACAACTTAAACACACAGGTAAGAATTTAAGACACAGACTGATTGTAAAATATCTGACTGATAAATTAATATTCTGTCTTTATCATTTCAGCCCAACAGAATTCAGACCTACAGACTGAAACTGAAACACTGACAACTCTCATTTCATCACAGACGACTGGTGAGTTTTCAGGTTTAACCTCATCAATCTTAGTCTTTATTAAGGTAAATTAATTAAATTACTGTAACTGAATAATTATTAACATACACTACCAGTGAGACGTTTAGCATGTAGGCCTATGTGTGAGTCTTCAGTCCTGCTGGAAAATCATCCAGGAGCAGAGAACCTGCAGTGAGGAGAGCTGCCACTCAGTGTCTTGTGGGTCTGTCTTGCACTCCTTAGCCAGTCCAAAATGAATGGGTTTTTTATGGAGTTTTTACAAATGGTAAAAACAATAATTGGTAAAAACAATAATTAATATTTTTTACATATAAATGCTCTTGTTTTCTAAACGTATAATAGGATGAAAAGCTTCAACACTGCTGTTATTGATTTTTTAGCCATTTGGCTCCATTCCCTCACGTTTATTAAGGACTTACTCATTGGCGCCCTCTAGTGTTCCGCAGTCATGTTTTTGGCCCAGCACATCTTAAAGGCCCATCACAGTACCTCCTTACTCAAAATGTTATATTAGCAGGAAGTATGTGATTATCTTCATACTTCTGGTTCAGTGCAACATTTATATGGCACTGCAGACTGCATAAAAATGACCTCCCAATGTTTATTTTTTGGAATACTGCCCCCTAATCACTGTTTTGGGATTAGACTTTATTTTAGATTTAGATGTCACAGACAACACTAATTGACAATTGGGAATCATAAGCTACCTTGTATTGCATATTAATGAGCTCTGCAATCGACTGACCTTCCCACACTTCACACGCTCCACATCTCTCTACCTGACGTAACATTAAATCTACTTGGGGATGACACTCATTTACAAATGGTCAGGTTTTGGATGCAGGAGGGAGAACAGTCAGTCTCTACACGTTGGAGTTACACATTTACAGTTAACAGTACGAGACTGAAGTTGACCTCCTTTCACCAGCTTCTTGTTCAGAGTTTCCTGTTCCACTTTAAATGGTGCAATGTGGGAGAATTCAAACAAGAAGCTGGCAAAAAAGAATCTGAGCTCAGCTTTGTGTTAGCACTACAGTTGAAATGCTAAATCTTCAATAAGCTGCCTAACAAACTAAAATCAGTCTGTAACGGTACCACTGAGGAGCTCCTACAAGACTGTGATTAACAGGTTCCTCTTCAGAATCTCCCTCTTCATGTTTATACAGTTAAGACCATGTTGATGATCTGATTTCCAGCCTGCGCCGTACTGACTATGTTTCTGATTACATTTGATGCAGAGGATATCGGTCAATCTGCTGGGTCCACGCCCACAGGGCAGAATGGTAAAAGGCGACGGAGAAAAGAGAAAATACAAAACACTCCTTTAATGTTGTAACATATAAAATTGTCTATGGAAATATTAATTTTTCACAGATATTAAAAAACTGTGCAGGGTGTTTAAACTGACTCTTGATTGAGAGAATGTCGAGAGTGTGTAAAGCGACAAGGCAAAGTAGGGAAATAAAAAAAATCTAAACTAAGAAAATATTTTTGATTTGTTTACACTTTTTAGTCGCTGTATGATTTAAAACATGTTATTTTATAGTTTTGATGATTTCATTATGATTGTAAAATGTGGAAATTAGTATAAATAAAGGAAAAACATTTTTTCAGTAAGTTTGTCAAAATTTTGGCTGGCAGTGTAATTGTCCTTAATTAGTCTCTACCATTAATTTCCTCATTTTAACTCTTGATAATTTCCAGGCTGTAAGATAATTTTATAAATATAGATATTTTTGGTGTGTTTAACACATTTTCAGTCTCTTCATGATTCTATATATTACTTCACTTTGAGTCCATAATATAGAAAATAGTAAAAATGAGGAAAAATAGTAGCCGTGTCTAAAGGTTTGACTGGTAGTGTATTTGTTGTTATTCTCTACAAATATATATATATATATATATATATATATATATATATATATATATATATATATATATATATGTATGTATTTGACTCTTTATATTCCAGTTGATTTTTTTCCAGACTTTTATAAGAGAAAGATGAAGTCTACTCCATTTTAATGATTTATTACCAGCTAATAAACTCACTGCTGTTAAATCTCAGTACTGTGTATCTGTCAACTCGGCACATTGTGAATTGAGAAAGACTGAATTCATGTTTTCTTACAGATTTAACTGAAAAGACCAAACAGCTCAAAGAAACAAAACACATTCTATCTGAGAGAGACAGACAGCTAATGGAGAGAGAAAAACAAGTGGAGGAGAAAGACAGACTTCTGACAGAAAATACAACAACACTTCAGATGAAGGAGAAGATTTTAGAAGAGAAAGACAAACTTCTCACAGAGACACAAGATGAACTGAGACAAACAACAAAGACATTAGAGAATCATAGAATACAAATGGAAGAAATGGAGAAAAGACTTGTGGAGAAAGATGAAGAATTAAAAGAGACAAAACAAGAACTGAAAGATAAAAACACGATTATTAAAGAACATTTAGAGACTGTTGATAAGAGAGATTCATTATTAAAGGAAACTAACGAAAGATTAGAAAGTGTTAATAAACAGCTTAAAGATAAAGACTCACAACTGGAGAATCAGATCAAACTGCTGAGAGAGAAAGAGACTCTACTGGAGATCACAGTGAAACAGCTTGAAGAGAAGGAGAGACTTCTAAGTGAGAGAAACACACAGCTAATGGAAAGAGACAAGCAGGTTGCGGAGAAAGACAGACTTCTAGAGGAGAGAAACAAGCAGCTGCAGGAGAGAACAGATCCAGACTCAGCAGCTCCAGCCAGGAGGAGAAACAGCAAAGAGATTGATCCTCCAAACAGTAAGTAATAACTAGGGTTGCATGAAGATTTTCAAAATACAAATGTTTAAATTGTGTACATTGCCATCTATAACAAATTAGAAGACAGGTGTATATTCAAGACAAAATATGATTTGATATGAATTAAAACAAATAGAACAATTGTTTATTATGCTCTAATATACAGGTGTAAAGCAAAATATTAAACACTTATTTATAAATTTCATGACATTGTCTACTACAAACTTAATCAGCCCCACCCATTTAAAGAAAGTATGGCTTCAATTTCCATTTAACTTCCTAAAATTGTGTTTGAACTTTCTATTTTGGCTAACAGCTGTTAGAAAATAGTAGACATTTCTCTACCAAGAACAAGAAGAACGGACTTGCATTTTTGGGAACAACTTTCTTCACAGCTAACAGCTTCCACTCTTCTGGGAAGCTTTCTACACGATTTTGGAGAGTGTCTGTGGGAATTGTTTCCCATTCATTCATTTGTGAGGTCAGACACTGATGTTGGACGAGAGGGCCTTGCCCGCAATCTCCATTCTAGTTCATCCCAAAGGTGTTTGATGGGGTTGAGGTCAGGGTTCTGTGCAGGCCAATCAAGTTCTTACCCACCAAACTCACCCACCCATACCTTTATGGACCTTGCTTTGTGCACTGGGGCTCAGTCATGCTGGAACAGAAAAGGGCCTTCCCCAAACTGTTCCCACAAAGTTAAAAGCATACAATTGTCCATAATGTCTTGGTCTGCTGAGGCATTAAAGTGTCCTTTCACTGGAACTAAGGGGTTCTAGGCCAATCCCTGAAAAACGAGCCCATAGCATCATCCCTCCTCCACCAAACTTTACAGCTGGCACAATGCAGTCAGGCAGCTAACGTTCTCCTGGCATTCACAGATAGAGAAGCGTGATTAGTCACTCCACAGAATATGTTTTCACTGCTCCAGAGTCCAGTGGCGGTGTGTTTTACACCCCTCCATCTGATGCTTTGCATTGTACTTGTGTGATGTAAGGCTTGCATGCAGCTACTCGACTATGTAAACTCATGTCATGAAGCTCCTGGCGCACAGTTTTTGTGCTGATGTTGATGCCAGAGAAGTTTGGAACTCTGCAGTTATTGAGTCAGCAGAGCGCTGGTGACTTTTATGCACTATGCTCCTCAGCACTCGGCAACCCTGCTCTGTAACTTTGCACGGCCTGACACTTTGTGGCTGAGTTGCTGCAATTCCTAAACGCTTCCACTTTTCCACAATACCACTCATAGTTGATCATGGAATATCTAGGAGGGAAGAAATTTCACAAACTGACTTGTTGCAATGGTGACCTCCTATTACAGCACCACACTCGCATTCAGTGAACTCTTTAGAATGACCCATTCTTTCACAAATGTTTGTGAAGGCAGACTGCATGGCTGGATTTTATATACCTGGGGCAAAGAAACTGAAAGAAACAGCTTAATTCAGTGATTAAGAGGTGTGTCCAAATACTTTTGTCCAAATAGCATATGCTGTGTACACATTATTTCTATTGTGTCACTCAAAGTCCATTACTTTTTACTAGCACTACTATTAATAAGTCTGCAAGCTCAGAATGTCATACATGAAATCAAAAAACACTTTTGTACAATGCAAATTATAAATCGAGTCTGATGTTCCTGTTTACACAAAATGGTGATGTTCATTGTTATAATTAAGCTAAAGCTGGTTATTTCACTGATACAGCCTCTTTATCTGCCATGACTGTGGCAGCATTTTCATTTTAATGTTCAAAAGCCAACAGCAGAAAAATATTGTGACTAAACATCAAGTTTCGAGTAAATTTATAGATCTGCAAGGTATGAAAGAAAATGAGTAAAAGTAGGAGAAATGGAGCGGATGCTGCTACAAATGTTGCTGCCGGAACTTTTGACCTAAAGGAGGAGCAGCTGAGCTGCTGTGCTGATCCAGAGGAGATCCAGGCTGAGGAGCAAGAGAGGCTACTCACTATAATAACACTTATATTCAGCTGTGACTTACTGTGGTTCCCTTTCCTATGCTAGAAACAAGCTAATGTGTCCCCTCCAAATCGCTATTTAATCCTTCCAAAGAACAAACATAGCTATTTAATTCTTTCAGTTTTTCTAAATTTGAAGATATTTAAAATTCCAGTTTCATACAGTATCTTAAATTTTTTTATCAAAAGAATCACCATCACACAGTAAGAGATTAAGTGCCTCATTGTTGTTTATTTACAGTGAGTGGAGAATCCTCTAGTTCAGCCTCTCCAGAGTCAGTTCCTGTAGCAGAGCTCAGGCTGGTGCTGCTGGGGAGGACTGGATGTGGGAAGAGAGCAGCAGGAAACACCATCCTGGGCAGAGAGGAGAGGAGCCAGGCTGGAGCGTCTACAGTGAGGCAGCAGAGTGAGAGCAGACAGGGGGAGGTGGCTGGGAGGCAGGTGACTGTGGTGGACACTCCTGACTGGTTCTGTCCTGGACTCTCTCTGGAGGAGCTGAGACAGGACGTGGGACTCTGTGTCCGTCTGTCTTCCCCAGGACCCCACGCCTTCCTCCTAGTCATACCAGTGAAGCAGTCTACAGGAGAGGAGAGAGGCATGCTGGAGAAAATGGAGGAGATCTTTGGAGAGAGATGTTGGAGGAACACCATGATCCTTTTCACTGTTACTGATGAAGTCCAAGAGAAGAACATTGAAGAGTTTATCCAGTTAGGAAACCAGGAGGTCCAGAGACTTGTAGAGAAATGTGGGAACAGGTTTCACTGTCTCAGCATTAAGGAGAGTGGAGATGGTTCTCAAACCTCAGAGCTGCTGGAGAAGATAGAGAAGATGGTGGAAGGAAACAGAGAGAAATTCTACAGCAGTGAGATCTACCTGGAGACACAATCTCAGATCAGAGCTATGGAGACAAAGATCATGAAAGAAAAAGAAGAAAGGAGGGTGATGGAAGAGAGAGAAATTAAGGTAAAACTAGAAGAGGAGGTGCAGAAATCTCTGAGAAAGATAGAGGGAGCAGTACAAGAACACGAAGGAGAGATAAAACAACTGAATGACCGAACAACTGAGCTAGAGAGAAGGATGAAAGAAGAGAGGGATGAAGAGAAAAAGAGAGAACTGGAACGAGAACTGGAAAAAGAGTTAAAGCAAAGAACAGAAGTGGAGGAGAAGGTGAAGAGACTAAAAGAAGAGAGGAGAGAGATGGAGGAGAGACACAGACAGGAGATGGAGGAGATCAGGGAGACGTATGGAGGAGAAGCCAGAATGGAGGCAGAGAGGAACCTCATGAAGATCATCCTGCCTGAACTCCAGAGGAACATTTTGGTCTCCAAGTCAAAGATGCAGGACGAGTTCAGCAGACAGATGGAGGAGAAGGACAGAGAGCTGGAGACACTGAAACAGAGACTTTTAGAACTCAGTGAAACTCATTCGCTCAGAAAGGAGGTTTATGAGACGGCTGTGATGAGAATTGCAGAAACTGAGAAAAGAGGAACAACATCAGGAAGAGAACCTCAAGAAGAAGAAGAGTCTGGAGGAGTGCTGAAGTGGCTCTTCCGAAAAAAGGACCAGAGTGAGAAATCAGGTGGAGGAGTGATGGATGTTTGATTTCTGTCAGTATTAACTTTGATTCTTAATGCAGAAATGAAAACGTACCACTGATAGATGTGATATTACCCAGAATGAATCAGTCCTGAAGCACTGAATCAGAAATGATATCATTATGTAAGAGAATGACTCTTATTTATTTACATTCTAAGCTGACATTAATACTGTAATTCTGTTATGTGGACAAGAACATTACCATAGAATTTTAGGCCGAAGACTTCTGATACATACATGCCAATGCCTGTCGCTCTCCCACTGACTGTTTGTAAAATTCTGACAAGCACCACCTCCCTCAGTTACTGCTGCTATTTCTGTCACACTTTCCGCTCAGGAGACCAGGTAGTGTCCACAACCTGTGTACTAAAAGACTAAAGTCAAGCAGTCATGGCGTTCTGTCTCAATGTAAGACAGTGGTTCCCCACTCTGGTCACTGGGTACCCCTGTTTTCCACAAGTTGTGGGTTTCCCCTTCTCTTTCATGACCACTTCAACTCATTAAGGGTGTGTTAATTAGTTGATTAGCAGGGCTGGAAATATAATTGTAGTTCTTTACTGTATTTCAGTGTTATTTTGAAAGAATGAGTTACTCTTTTTCACTTACATTTCCAGAAGAGACATATTTTTATTTTAATAATTTAAAAATTACTTGCATTTTCACTTAGACCTTTAAAGTACTTATAACAAATATCACATTCCATGAGATTTTTCTCATTTTTTGATCTTACTTTTCTCAAATTTATATCACTGAAAAATGGATTTTGCCCATAATTATATTAATTCATAATTGTGCAAGGACCAGAACCCCCTATTAGTTGCTGAACTACCCATTTTGTTGTAAAGGCTCATGACAAAAACATTTTAGTCTAGGTTGTACAGAATCTGAGCACTACATTAATGTTAATTTAATGTTAAAATGTGAGTGACTGTTAAATTTATCTGTTAAAACTTTTAGTTTTTACTTTTAATCCCACTTTTAACTCCTTCAGTCTATGTCTAGGTGTTTATGGAGGCCACTAGAAGACAAGACCATCATTTCAACAAGCCTACAGATATAACAGGTCATCCCCCCATTTACCCAGCGTTCAATACAACTGTGCAAATAACTACCAGTAATTACAAAATGACAACAGATTCATATATAAGTCTGGATATGAATATCTCTCTGGCCTAAACTGTAATTCTCAACCAGCGTTATCATCTCAGGTCTTCATATTCATATTCTGAATTGCAGTAGTGATTCATCAGCTGCTGGAAAAGGACCCCCTAAAGCTTCAGGACACTACAGTAAATGGACATAATTCTGTTACATTTATATTAATGTACGGTAACAATGAAGAGTCAGATGTTGCTACATTGAATTGTGGTGTGATTTTAAATTATTTCTATCCTGCATCAAATGTACATCCAACATATTTTTATAATGTGATGTTTGTATACACTGTGGATTTTATAAGATCTGACTTGCAATGTTGTTCTGTACCTTGAACAGTGTTTGTTCAGAGCACGTTAATCAGGTCTGTCATTGTATATAAACTATAAGCACTGTGTGCCATGTTAGTTCTTCCTTAGAAATGATTCCACCAATAAAAATAAATGACTTCTAAATTCAAAATTCTTCATTTATACAATATTGTTATCTTACCAGCGCAGCTCTAAGGGTTGTCTAGGTGGGCTTAGGCCTTCATTGGTCCTTGTGTCTTGGCTAAGTTATGTGTACAAAGATTTTTCCTTTGTATTGGAGTGCAAATCGGGACTTTGTAGTAAATCTAAATGTTTATTTTTATATTTCTTGTTTTTCCTTTATAAAGGTCCAGTTATGATGCAACTAAAGAGATAACATGGTCCTTTCATATTACTATTTTTATTTAGATGTTATTTGTATATGTAAATATCATCTTAAAGAAGTCTGATACCTGAATTTATGATGATATATGATGTTTTGTAGTGCTCTGAAATAACACGAAATTCACACCGAGTATTACAGACAGGGGTGTTAAGTCCATCTTCTAGTGAGTCCAGAAAAAAAAAATTCCAAAGTTTAGGGCACTGATTAGATTAGGTATGGTGAAGAAATAGTGGGCACAGTTATAAAAGATCTTTTATAACTAGACCCACCAGGAACCTTTTAACTATTATTTTAAAATGAGCTTGAAAAGGCCTTGATATCCTTTTCAAACCTTAGACACTGAATTATATTAATTTGGTTGCAGTAGCACTTTGGTCCATCCAAGTCTTCATGAGGATAGTAATACAGTACTGTCCCCTCTGTGTGTGTGTGTGTGTGTGTGTTATGAAGAGATATTGATGAGTATAAAATGATTCTGATATCAATGTGTTGTTCTTTTGATTATTGCATGAAAGAAACTTGCTTTCCTAAGTTTTGAAAGTACCTGTACAGTCCATCAGTGAATGTGTCTTTCTTTATATATAGAAGCCTTGGTCATGCACATAGAGGTCACTAGGGGTCTCTGATGTTTTTCTAGAAATAAAAGCAAAACTACTTGCAAAATTTTGTTCTCAACAAATAATAGTTGCCATGTTTTAGGAATGATTGCCATCCCATAGCAGCAAAGAATTAAAGACCCCTGCACTTAAAAAAGTATTTTTTAAAGGTTTAACTCCTCTTAAATTTACGATGATTTACAATGAATGTTTAGACTTATATTAGTTTCAAATGTGTCACTGCAGAGCAGAGTTCACATTTTTTCATTGAAAAACACAGGCTGCTATTTAGCAGCTTAGTCTTGTGACAAATAAGCTGGATCCTATCACAATACATTATACTCAAATATGCTAATAAGAGGATGTGCCAGACACCACTGAGAGCCGACATGAGTATCCGAGCCTCAAGGGTAACCATCGGTGGCTGGCTCTCATTAAGGGCAGCATGAGCACCTGACCTGAGATGGCAAGAGAAACTTAATGTCATGTTGCCTCAGCCGTGACATCCCATGGCAATGACACCAGGGTCCAAACCTCTCGGTTCAGGTGCTCATGCTGCCCTTAACAGAAGCCAGTCGACACTGTTTTTGCCTTGACAGTGGTCTGGCAGCTACATACAAGGAATCAATCACAGCTTTTATGCCGCTTCACCATAGCTCTTAGTGGCCATTGGGCCTTGGGCACTGTCCTCATGCCGGCTCTCGTTGGTACCTGGCTCTGCTCAGATAGCAAGTAGCACGCTACTTTAATGGGTTAGCATGCAACAGTTTCACCACAGCACAGTTTCATTCCTCACTGAAAGCAAGATTAGAAAATGAAGACTCAAATCTGAGTGAGTTACATCAAGTGACTGGTGCCAGAGTGACATAAAGACAGGAAATTTATGATTATTAATGATACAGTGTTGACTTTTTGTGTGTGGTGGTGAGAAGGGGATGGCAGACCATTGTAGACCAGTTAGGGTGATATGCAAAATGAAATGAATCCAGTGTGGAAGGAAAACTGCTCTTCATGTGTTTCATTACCAACCACTCAAAACACTTCATAATGATTAGAGTGAGTGCTATGGGCTGGTAGTCATCAAGGCAAGACACAGATGATTACTTTGGCTCAGGAATGATGGTAGTCATGGTGAAGTAGTTCATGGCAAATTAAATATTGAAGATGTCTGCTGAAATGCTTAAGCCGATGTTTGTATTCTGGAATTAGCATAAGAGGGATGAGATCTGAGCAGCCAGAGTGGGGAGGGGGTGTAGCCTTGTATGCATGGATGTTGGAGTAAAAGGGATCCAATGAGTTCATTCCACGACTGAATACACTCTAGACATCACTAGGACAGTGTGTTAGCTGCAGCATTAATTAATAAAAATCTGCTCACATTGCTCTTTCTTATTTGTTTGTTTGTTTGGTCTTTTGCAAGAGAGAAGACTTAATACTGAGCACAACTTAGTCACACATAAAACCAGTGACTTCTTATCGTGTCCCTGAAATATGTAAGTAATATAAGTAGTAATGCATTACTGTCCTCAGCATTTACAAACTGACGCAAATACATTATTGAGTGTATGTGGCCCTGTTACACAGTTCGGTCTTTTGGGGGTATTAGAGCAGCATTATTGCCCTAAATAACAAATATGTTTCCTTACATATTTTGGAATAAAAACAAATGAAGAGTTTCATTTCAAATTGCTGAACATCCATTTGTACCATATTTGGTACAGTGGGTTTTTGAAAAGAAAATCAGTTGATTAATGTTGGACAAGAAAAAAGCTTTTTTTATTTCACTAATAAAGGTGTTATTAATCACAATATAGCACTGACTTTTCTTACATATGTGAAGCCCACTTTTAAAGTATATCACGAAAAAAAATATATAATGCATTTTACAACGAAATCCTTCAAATACATTTGAAAGTTGTCTGTGATGTAGTTTTAGTATTAACGACAGTTTTTGATACATGTATTGAGGATTTGGAACAACCGTGGGGCCAATCTGGCAACCCAGGCTGACGCTCGAACCAAGGTGAAAGTGAAAGTAGTTCCGGATTCCGCTCTGGACGCTAAAATGGAGAGTAGTTTGTAAGAGTTGGTTTAAATACCGTGTTGTTATTCTGGATGATGGAGTTACAAGACCAAACCTGAATGTTAGTCGCTTTAAAATGTGTTTATATTTCAGTTAAAGCAGCGATGTGACTGAAGAACAGCAGAGGTAAAGAGAGTTAGCATCATGCTAAAAACACACTGAATTCACCACAGAAGAGCTGATATTAAAATGAATAACTCAGTATACTGCAGAACTCTCTCTCTCTCTCTCTCTCTCTCTCTCTCTCTCTCTCTCTCTCTCTCTCTGTGTGTGTGTGTGTGTGTGTGTATTTCTCTCTCTGTGTGTGTATCTCTCTCTCTCTCTCTGTAGGATTGTATTAGTGTGAATCTGTAGGAGGAGGTAAAGAGATAAAGATGGCAGCTGCTGGCAACAGTAAGTGAAATGTTCAGAGATTTGTCAGTGTTTTGTGCTGGTTTTGATTTCATAACATGAACATTGACATTGTGTTATATTCACTGATTCTTACTATGCAGACACAGTCGATTAAACTACTTGTACATATGTATGACTTTTCCTTCATAGATGAGTTTAAACTCTTTGGCCCCAGTGATGAAGAGTACCAGCCTCTCCATGTGGTCACTCTCTCCTGTCGTCTGTCTCCTGAAATCAGTGCTGTTGCCGTGGAGATCAGGTGGTTTAAGGGGACAGACTGTGTTTGTCTCTATAAAAACAGGCAGGTGACAGAAGGGAGGGGCTACGAGGGCAGAATGAGTCTGTTCACTCAGGAGCTGCAGAGAGGAAACGTCTCCTTACAGATCAGAAACTGTAGACCATCAGATACAGGACAGTACCTGTGTCAGGTCACCAATGGAGACACAACAGAGGAGTGTACAGTAGGAGTATTTGGTAAGTGATTAAGTCCACTGTGTATTACATCATCATCAGTAGTCTCGTCACAAAATTCAAATGAGAAATACAGACATACAGAAGTTTGCACTGGTTAAATAAATGAAGATCGCTGTACAGAGTAATGAGCAAATGATGCTACTGTGCAGCGAAGCAGATGGTGCTCTGGGGGCCCAAGTTCTTTTGTTTTTAACCCACATCAGGAATGACTGAAACAGCATGGAAGCCTCTGGCAGTTTACTGTTAAAGAGGGTGATAAATATACAGTACTGTGCATGAGGCACATAAGCAAATTGATTTAAACCATTTGTTTTTGCCTATAAAAACACCACATATCATTAGAATAGATGCATGAATGAATACAGTAAACAGTAACCAGAATTTCTGAATTTGAAAACAGTAGTTGTTATCTTGTGAGCTACTCTGAAAAACAAAGTTTGGTTGATTATCCATTTCTCTTGGATGCCCCCAGCAATCACATGTATTTATTAAATTCTATCACCAACACACTTGATTTAAAATAATGATGTATTGATTAACCAAACCAGTTATTGGATTATAACTACAGGTAACACGAGTCTGCTATGAGAAGTAATTTGGAAATAGTTTAACACATAGACACACATAAATTCACTACTTATTGTAGTAATATTATTTGTATTTATTGTAATGTTAATGTTTTCCTCACCAAATAAATGCTTAATGCTTTTAATTCTAAATTTCTCTGGTTTTGCCCAGCACAGTATGTGTTATTCATCTGAGTAAGTCTTGCTGTCCCTATGTTGTCCACATTTCACATTGGCATAATATTTGATAGAGAAAAACAAAACTGCTGTTTTTGCATAAAAAGTATAATTAAACGTGATCTACACTGAGATGAGGGTCTTTAAACACTAAAGACACCTCTTTAAGTTATATGATTGCATTGCTAATGTATAGCGTTGTACGTGGCTTTCAAGTTTTGGTGGCCAGAGATTATGATGTCACCTCCACCACCTGTTCGACATGTGTGGTACCTTCAGTGTTATTATCTGAAGATCTCATTAGGTATTAATTAATGTAGCAGTGATCCCTGATTGGGCTTCTAACCAACTCTTAAGCTCTAGAGTTGTTGGGTAACAGAAAAGTAATGAGGATAAGGAAATGATAAGGACATATTAAAGTGAAAAGTGTTCTAATTATAGATGATGTGAAGGTTTCTAATCATGGTTTATCTAACATTGTGTTCCTTTCTGTTGTTTCACACAGGTCCTTTCTCAAGTGTAAGTAAATGCTTGCTATATTTTTAATTTCTCCCTGATGAGGATGACTGATAGTTTTGTACTTATGTCACATTTTAGTTCCAGTCACATCAAGTTCCATATAAAGTTTATGTGAAAAGTCTGTGATCTTAAAATAAACATTCTCCTTCCTTCCCAAAGTGCCCCTGTGCAAAACCGTACTGCATGCAGAAACATAGAGTCAGTGACGTTTACCATGACAAACAAAAGACAGCAGAAAATCTGTGTAGGATCTGTTAGGAGTGATGTCACTGTTCCTGTGAGATAACTGCTAACAGACCTACTCACACACATACAGTACATACAGTACGGTGCAGTAGACCAACATTTGTTTATGCAATTTTCTGTCAAAACAGCCATTATGTACAAGTCTTACAAGCTTTTAAACTGAAAGCAAATCTTACAAAAATAATAGAAGCTGCAATGAAGGAAACGAGTGGACACACTAAATACTGAAACTGTTCATTTTATTCTTATTGTTTCCTGCTTAAATATATGTTTCCTGATGTTAAAAATTGAATTTGTACTTAATGGCTATTTTGACTGGACATTAAATAAATGAAAGGGTGGTCTTTTTTTACAGTGCAGTACCCCTCATCATCATAGTTACTTAGAAAGTGCAGAGTTTGGATTATGACAGATGTCTTATTAACCTCTGCAGATATCAGAAGTGAAAGGTGTGTCGGGTGGAGAGGAGAGAGGTGAGTGGACGTCAGGCTGAAGTAAACATGACTGCTTTTATTTTGATGTCTTGATTCTTCATGAAGCTTTTTGTTGTAAAGACTGAATGTGTTTATCTGTATTGTGTGTTCAGTAATCAGCTATGTGTGTTGCTATAATGTAGAACTCACAGCAGAGCCAGAACACTTCTGAAGTGTATTTTAAATGTGTAAATCTGTATTCAAACACTCATTTCTGATTGGATTTATGATTTACATAAACAGTGAGGTGAAAACTGTGAATTTTTCACCTTTCCTCCTCAGTACCAGCCTGTGGATCAGATATCTCTGTCTGTTTTAGGCCTGTTTTAAGTTTTTAAGAGATGTTTCTGTCAATATTCATATTTTTAAAATACTTCATGAAGGAGGTGAAGTTAGTTTATACTGAAATATCAAAAAGTGGTTGGGCCTCTGAAACGTTACACAGAGTTAAGTACCAGACCAAATAGCTTGAAGACAGAAGTCAGGCCAGCATGATAAATCTAGAAGCTATAGATCCATTCTTGCTTGTCTTACTGTACAAGTAGAAAATACAGTAAAATACAGTAGAACTGTAAAAAAGTATAGTCTTAATTTTGTGTAGTTTAGTTTGGCAGTTTAGGATTTTTTTACTAACTGCTTTCTCTAAAAAGTCTGCTCTGGTTCTAAACAGCTATGATCCTGGAGATGAGCCCTTTGTATTACTTAAAATTTATTATACATGCATTGTTATTACTTCAGAACTTATTGCAGAACATCGTCATTATTTTAGAAAAACAGACAAAGCTTTTGTCTTATTCAGTGTTTCCTTTAGTGTTTTTAAGGTTTTTCTTTGTCTCTAAACAGATTCTCCTCAAGTTCAAACTGTTTTAATATCTGAGGTGAGTATACTGATCTGCTTTAGTTTGATTGTTGAGAAATCTGTAATTTGCAGTATGGAACCATGATGTATGTTAATGGGATGCAAGGTAAACTGATCATAAAGACTGCATGTTTATATGAAGCACTCCAATGGCTGACAAAGCCATGAATACAAGTGATAAACATTATTTGAGTGAACACAGTAGACCAAGCTGGGAAACAATGTAGCAGCTTTAATGTAAATGTATCAATGAGACGTCAGCTTCTGTATCATAATGTGTGTAAATGATTGGAATGTTAAATCTGTAATGAACAGGTGTTTAGCACCAAGCAACGTTTCTCTTTGGACTGTTTTGTAGAATAGGCAATATCATTGGCTCATTCCTGCAAATAGATGTATTGTTATGTGACAAATGTACCAGCTGTTTATGAATACCTGAGTGTAAATAACTGGTAGTTGTAAATTGGTTGGTAATTTGCTATCATTGAGAATTTGTGTGTGAGAGTAGTTGATGGAAACACTGATTAATTACCACTTTATTTTATCTGCTTTTTTGGACTTCACTCCTACATCACCAGGTGAAACCTTGGGAATGACATTCCAGATATAGCGTCAATGTCTGCGCCCCAATTTGCATACTACTGTACTGAATAGTATGCTCAAGATAGTAAAGGGACTATTGGTGGTGTACTAATTTGATGTAATATTTCAAGCATGTGCAGTTTAAGACTTTGTCATCGTCAGAGGGAACGGAAACGTAATGTTTGTTCCCACTACGTCCTCACTTATTATAAAATCTGCTTCTATCACTTTTTGCATATTTTTTCATTTAATGATAACCAAGTTTTCCACCTCATCCAACAGATATTTAGGTATTTTTCAAATTTCTGAAAAATAAACTTTGTTTAGGTGATTCATACTGACACATCAACAATGATTTGGTGAAACCGTCATTCGTTTGGGGAAACACTTCCAATGACTGAATTCATATAATTATATTATATATATATATATATATATATATATATATATATATATATATATATGTATATGTATATATTATATCAACTATCTTTGTAATTTATTGCCATTCTTGATATAATACAGATCAGTCTATTCTAAGTGGGCACATTTTTCATCTGACAGCGTTATGAAACAGTTAAACAGTTGAAAGTTATTGTTCGGAAAATAAATAGTGTGGCTCCATGTATGAAACCTTCACACTGTTTTATTTGCTGCTTTAGGACACCAGAAAATGGACAGAAGAGGAGAGAATGAAAATGAAGGAATCTGCTCTGTTGACAGGTGTGTTTTAAAGGAAATGCACAACAAAACATGATCCTATTCTAATATTAAGACAATCTTGAGGTTTTATAATAACAATAATTTTAGTTATTTGTTGCATAGAAACGAGTTACATCTGACATTTTCTTTAATTCACTGGTTAATCATCCCTAAAATGCAGAAAATGGGCAAGATATTACATTATTGTATGTTTTATAGAGTTATCAAGACAAGATAAACTTCTGAAAGACAAAGAGAGTCTTCTAATGGAGAGAAATACACAGCTGATGGAAAAAGACAAACAAATACAAGAGAAAGAAAAACTTCTGACAAAAAATGCAGAGACACTTCAGATGAGGGACAAGATGCTGGAAGAGAAAGAAACACTTCTTCAGGAGACAAAAAGCAAACTAGAACAAATGAACAAAGAATCTGAGATGAATCAGAAACAGCTAAAAGATAAAGACACACAACTGGAGAATCAGATCAAACTGCTGAGAGAGAAAGAGACTCTACTGGAGATCACAGTGAAAGAGGAGGAAAGCAGTAAAAAGCAGCTGGAGACTCTGAGAAAGGAACTGCAGGACAAGAGCAGCAAACTACAGGAGATGATGATCCTACTGGAACAACAGAAAACTGAACTCACCCGTCAGCAGAAAGAGTTAGAAGAGAAAGAACAACAACTTAAACACACAGGTAAGAATTTAAGACACAGACTGATTGTAAAATATCTGACTGATAAATTAATATTCTGTCTTTATCATTTCAGCACAACAGAATTCAGACCTACAGACTGAAACTGAAACCCTGACAACTCTCATTTCATCACAGACGACTGGTGAGTTTCAGGTTTAACCACAGTAACCTCAGTCTTTATGATCTTTAGAACATATTATGATCAAATAATAACATTAATAAATTCATCACCTTTAATTCATCTCTCCCATTAATTAGCAAGTGAGGTTTTCTGACTCTACTTCTTCTCACTGATCTTTATCAGACTTTCCTAATGGGAAGATACAATCTAGACATTGTTAATGTTTTAGTACTGACTAATAAACAGAAGTCTTTGATATCGCTGTGCTGAAAATATGTGATCCCATGGGGGTGACGGTGGGTGGGGCAGGGGAGCATTTCACAAAACAGGATTTTTCAGTTAGCCTGAAAACTTAGACCAAAAACACGCCAGTCCAATAGGAGAAGAGCTGAGCAACAATCCTATTGGACAAGCCACAACCTTTGGCTTAAGTTTTCTAGCTTACTGAGAAAACCTTCTTTGTGAAATACCATCCAAGCCAACTGTGAACTCAAAATGATGATTTCTTACAGATTTAACTGTGAAGGCTAAACAACTTGAAGAGAAAACAACCATTATAACTGAGAGAGATGCACAGCTAATGGAGAGAGAAAAACAAGTGGAGGAGAAAGAAAAACTTCTGACAGAAAATACAACAACACTCCAGATGAAGGAGAAGATTTTAGAAGAGAAAGACAAACTTCTCACAGAGACACAAGATGAACTGAGACAAACAACAAAGACATTAGAGAATCATAGAAAACAAATGGAAGAAATGGAGAAAAGACTTGTGGAGAAAGATGAAGAATTAAAAGAGACAAAACAAGAACTGAAATATAAAGAAACGATTATAAAAGAACATTTAGAGACTGTTGATAAGAGAGATTCATTATTAAAGGAAACTAATGAAAGATTAGAAAGTGTTAATAAACAGCTTAAAGATAAAGACTCACAATTGGAGAATCAGATCAAACTGCTGAGAGAGAAAGAGACTCTACTGGAGATCACAGTGAAAGAGGAGGAAAGCAGTAAAAAGCAGCTGGAGACTCTGAGAAAGGAACTGCAGGACAAGAGCAGCAAACTACAGGAGATGATGATCCTACTGGAACAACAGAAAACTGAAGTGAGTGAAAAAGACAAACAGCTTGAAGAGAAGGAGAGACTTCTAAGTGAGAGAAACACACAGCTAATGGAAAGAGACAAGCAGGTTGAGGAGAAAGACAGACTTCTAGAGGAGAGAAACAAGCAGCTGCAGGAGAGAACAGATCCAGACTCAGCAGCTCCAGCCAGGAGGAGAAACAGCGAAGAGATTGAGCCTCAAAAAAGTAAGTTAATATTAAAGTTGTTTATAAGTAAAGCTGTTTAAAAAATCTGTTTATTTTTATCACAAATGTATTACACCATGTAGGTGTTAAGTAGGTTAGAATAAATATACAGATTTATGTAATAAAATAATGTAATGTAATAAAAATATAATAACGCTGTAATATGCAGTTGGGTATTTGTACCGTGTAAGAATTAAACAGCTAAAAGTTTCATAAACTTTTCACTATAATAGCGTTTTAGGGTCACTGTTAATAAAATTAAAAATCGCAGACTTAGATAATTAGAAAATAAAGTCGTAACATTTTGAAAAAAAATTATAATATTTTGTGAAAAAATTCATATGGTATGATATTTTAAGAAAAAAGTCATAATATTTCGAGACAAAAGTGACTTAGAGAAAAAAAAAGCCGTAATATTCTCAGAAAAAAAGTTTGTAATATTTAGAAAAAATATTTAAGAAAAATATTTCAAGAAAAAAGTCGTACTCTTTCAAGAAAAAAAGCCATACAATTTCGACATTAAATTGGCATTAATACCAGGAAAGGTTGCAATGTTGTGGCCAAAGGCTTTGCAAAAGAAAGCAGCACCTCCTCGTGTTAAATGAGGGGCGCTGAGTTGGTGGAGTTTCATATTGATTTCACCCATAAAGAAATACTCAGTCTCCCTGTCTCTCCTGCACATCAGCACCAGCCTGTTATTAGTATAAGAAACGGCTGAAACGGCTGAGCAGGAAACTGTGTTTATTAAGAACAAAGAGCCAGATGGACTTGGAGGAAACTGTCTGTCTGTTTTGTTGAAGGAGAATCACAGGTAGGGTTGTCTACATGGCTATCAGTGGCTACATCTCCGCATCATTCAAAGAGGGCATGTAGTTTCACAGACAATGAGAATGATAATCATAATGATTGATCCACAAGGAGACAGGAGTGAGTGGAACTCGAGCCAGTACAGCAACTGAGACGCCAACGCGTTATGGCAGCCCCCCTACAGTTAGCCCACTTTATCCTCCAAATATTATGACTTTTTTTCGCGAAATATTGCGACTTTATTCTCGAGGTTTGCTATTTTTATTTTTATTAACAGTGGCCCTAAACACCGTCGTAATTCACAGATTTCCCCTACATAATAACATAATCTCCATTCTGTCTGGTTCTTCTGTTTCATAGTGAGTGAAGAGACTCCTGAATCTGCAGCACCACTCAGGAGAAGAAACAGTCTAAGTCTTCCTCCAACAAGTGAAGTATTGTTTTACAAAGCATCTATTTGAACAGTATAATCACTTCTACTGTTTTATGTTTTTGATCCAGTGAGTGGAGAATCCTGTAGTTTGGCCTCTCCAGTGTCAGTTCCTGTAGCAGAGCTCAGGCTGGTGCTGCTGGGGAGGACTGGATGTGGGAAGAGAGCAGCAGGAAACACCATCCTGGGCAGAGAGGAGAGGAGCCAGGCTGGAGCGTCTACAGTGAGGCAGCAGAGTGAGAGCAGACAGGGGGAGGTGGCTGGGAGGCAGGTGACTGTGGTGGACACTCCTGACTGGTTCTGTCCTGGACTCTCTCTGGAGGAGCTGAGACAGGACGTGGGACTCTGTGTCCATCTGTCTGCCCCAGGACCCCACGCCTTCCTCCTAGTCATACCAGTGAAGCAGTCTACAGGAGAGGAGAGAGGCACGCTGGAGAAAATGGAGGAGATCTTTGGAGAGAGATGTTTGAGGAACACCATGATCCTTTTCACTGTGACTGATGAAGTCCAAGAGAAGAACATTGAAGAGTTTATCCAGTCAGGAAACCAGGAGGTGCAGAGACTTGTAGAGAAATGTGGGAACAGGTTTCACTGTCTCAGCATTAAGGAGAGTGGAGATGGTTCTCAAATCTCAGAGCTGCTGGAGAAGATAGAGAAGATGGTGGAAGGAAACAGAGAGAAATTCTACAGCAGTGAGATCTACCTGGAGACAGAATCTCAGATCAGAGCTATGGAGACAAAGATCATGAAAGAAAGAGAAGAAAAGAAGCTACAAGAAGAAAAAGAAATGAAAGAAAAACTACAAAAGGAGTTGCAGAACTCGTTGAGAAAAATTGAGGGAGCAGTACAAGAGCATGAAGGAGAGATAAAACAACTGAATGACCGAACAACTGAGCTAGAGAGAAGGATGAAAGAAGAGAGGGATGAAGAGAAAAAGAGAGAACTGGAACGAGAGCTGGAAAGAGAGTTAGAGCGAAGAACAGAAATGGAGGAGAAGGTGAAGAGACTAAAAGAAAAGAGAGAGAGGGAGAGGAGAGAGATGGAGGAGAGACACAGACAGGAGATGGAGGAGATCAGGGAGACGTATGAAGGAGAAGCCAGAATGGAGGCAGAGAGGAAACTCATGAAGGTCATCCTGCCTGAACTCCAGAGAAACATTCTGGTCTCAAAGTCAAAGATGCAGGAAGAGTTCAGCAGACAGATGGAGGAGAAGGATGGAGAGCTGGAGACACTGAAACAAAGCCTCTCAGAGCTCAGAGAGACTCACTCACTTCTGGAGGAGGTTTATGAGAGAACAGTGAGGAGCAGCTCAGACTCAGAGAGAGCAGCTCCAGCAGCAGAAGGGGGGTCTAAGGGAATCTTTCAGAGGTTCAGGAATTGGTTTTAGTGATGTGCTGAGAGACACATCCTTACAGAAAAGAGGTTCCTCAGTCAGCTGTGATGATCATGGAGAAGAAGTACGTAAAGACAGTCTAGAGGAATGTTAAAGTGGTTTTTGGTCTAGAAAAGGTTGTTTTGCTGAGGGACTTTATGAAGGAAGGGTTTGGTAACCTTCTGTGAAGGAGCTTTCAGAGGCACTAAACTCTTCAGACGTCTGGTTCCTATCAGCACCACTGTGAACAATTCTGACTCTAGAACAGAACTTTACACATCAGACAAAAGATTAGTGATTGAATTATGCACAGATCAGGGACGATGTCTATTCACTGTAATACTAAAATATGACTAGGATGATGGTACATAAACCAACACCAGGTGAACAGTGGTCAGTTTTGTTTGTATAATGGAGTCACAATAATTCCGTAAAGGAGAATCTTATTAGAGACAGATAATCTCTTTACAGAAGATAGAAGCTCTCCAATTGCATCAATTGTCATCTTATTTTATCAGAATGTGTGATTTATATCAAATCATTTGTAAACTGCGCAGATTATAAATGTATTAAAAAACTACAACAAACATTTGAAATGTGAATTCTGTGTGAGTTTAAATAAAACCTAATCATACCATGTAAATTCACAAATAACGATCAAATAATAGCTAGAAATGATGGCTAATTTTAACTGTAGCTATAGCTATAGCTAATACATAATACATACATTTACACAGTTAGTTCCAAACTGATTGGTTGAGAAGCATTCTATTTATTTATTTATTTATTTCTTTTTTTAACAAAATTATTTATTTTTACAATAACTGAGCGCCGTTTGCTCTCATTATGCTGCAGCTAACCATTACTACATATCTACTTTAGCACACCAAAAAAGTCAGTATGTGATACTGTGACCCTGTCCTGGCTGCATGGTGGTGCAGTGGGTAGCGACGTTGCCTCACAGCAAGAAGGGCCTGACCAGGGTCCATTCTGTGTGAGGTTTGCATGTTCGGTGTGGGTTTCCTCCAGGTACTCCAGTTTCTTCCCACAGGCTAATTGGACATGCTAAATTGCTCCTTAAGTCTGTGTGTGTGAATGATGAAAGTGGACTGGTTACCTGTTCAGGGTGTTACCTGGATTCTGCCCAATGGCTGCTAGGATAGGCTCTAGCTCCCGCCACTACCCAGAAGGATAAGTGGCTTAAAAAAATGTGTAATACCGTCCCTCCACAACAGAGCCTGTAAAGCACAACCAGCGCAGAGCTGAACAGCAGAAGGAAGAGCAAACAGAGGCCTTATTTTTTTCTCAGAAAGGTCAAAGCTGCCTGTCAGCTTTCAAATATTTGGCTGCAAAGGCCGACCTACAATCCACTACTCCAGACTTTGAGTTTCACCCCCTTGGACACTCTTCTTCTCATCCTAAATAAACACATCACATCTGACGGTGAAACTGTGGTGCAGTGTGTAGCATCCAACAGAGACTGATTCATGCTTTTTTGCATCAAACCACACAGTTAAATTTTTACATGGAAAACCAACGTCTCTGACTGGTGGAACTCGATTGAGGACTATGAATAGTGTATTTCTTTGTGAGGAATGTGATGGGACAAAGCTGAAATCAGATTAGGATAAGGTAAGTTGAAGAATCTAGGTAAAAATAAAGACAATGAGTGAACCTTAATATGTAAGGTTACTATAAGACCTGATCAAAGAATGGCTCCAAACATAATGTCACTGATCTCACTACAAAATGGATTTGCTCTAATGAATTGTGACATTTCATCTGGATGACTGCTTTCTGTTGAGGTACTGTTGCAGATATTATTTTTATCTTTTGGTAACAGTGATTAAAAGGGACGTATTATGTTTATTTTCAATGTTCATAATTTTATTTTTTTTGGGTCTTCTAGAATAGATTTACATCATTCAATGTTCCAGAAACACATTATTATTTTTCATACTGTACATCTCTGTTCACCCCCTGTCTGAAATGCTCTTTTAGAGCTCCTGTGTCTTTAATCCCCACCTCCTGATGAGCCCAGTGTGCTCTGATTGATCAGCCTGCCAACTCTGCTCTGATTGGTCAACCTCCAGAGGGGTGAAATGCATGCAGAACATTTCTCTTTTTTGCCTTATAAAGCCTTGGGCTGCTTTCACAGTCCACTTCAGGTCATTGTCCATTTGTACTATGAAGCGCCATTGAAGCATTTGGCTGAATCTAAGCAGATAATATAGCTGTATACACTTCAGAATCCATCCTGCTGTTTTTGACATCAGTCGTATCATCAGTAAATACAAGGGAACCAGTTCCACTGGCAGCAATACATGCCCACGTCATAACGCCACCTCCAGATGAGGTGATATGCTTTGGATCATGATCAATTCTTTTTCTTTTCCTTACTCTTCTCTTCCCCTCATTCTGGTACACAATGATTTTTGTCTCATCTGTTCATAAGATCTTGTTCCAGAACTGTACAGGCTTTTTTGATGTTTTTGGCAAACTCTTTTAGGAGTCACCCTTAAAATCAGGTCACCCTAATTTTAGCGTACATCTTGTGCTAAACCATCTGTCCACAAAGTTCGTTCTTTTTAAGGACGTACCAAATACTTGGTTGGGCACATGTAATGTTTTTTGCTATGTCTGTGATGGGTTTGTTTTGATTTTTCAAGTTTGTTACATTGGCAGTGAAGCTTTTTGGACTTCATATTGAGGGTTAAAAGCAACAGATTCCAAATGCAAACAATGAGGGAATAATACACTCCTGGCCATGGAAGAGCCGAGCAGCCAAGGGTCCAAATATTTTTGAGGCCCTAAATATGAAGGGCCTTGTATGAAAATTGGATGTAAATACTTTCAAATTAAAGCTGAAAGTTTGCACTTTGAACTCATATTGAGCTCATATGGGACAATTTAATTCCAACTTCAAGACTTCAAGTGATTTAACATATGAATTATATATTTTGTGAAATGTAGATGTACCTCAGCTAGGTCTTTAGGCCATCTTGGCCCAATCAAGATTTTATATTTTCCTTTTTTTATTTTTATTTTTTATTTTACTAAAAAGCAGTATGTGTTTTCCTATTTATTTGTGAAATAAGGGTCTTTTACTTTGAAAGAACAAATCGTTTATGACGTCACATGACCAGAAATTCTTATTATGATGTTGTTATTACCATACAATCCAAATAACAATTGAGATTGTATTAATTTCTAATATTTGTAAATATTGGGTCATACATTTCACTAAGTATAATTTGGATTTGTTTGTTCTTGTTTTCAATAAAAGGATGTTTTTAAAGAAAAAAATTTGATTTTATGGTGCTTTTTTTTTTTTAGATTTCATCGTGCTATGGTACGATTGTGCATTGTTGCCATACCCCGTTTAATTCTTAGAAATAAATTTTTTTTTCAAATATGTTCATTATTTAATTAGTTCCATTTTAAACAACAGAAACACATAAAAACATTTTTGTCATGTTTAAGTATTAAGTATTTATGTAGAGTAGAGAGAACCGAGAGTCAGCCAGGGGCTGATGGCTGAGAGAATTAAGACGTAGCTGAGGGTTAGAGCAAACTGTTAGAGAAAACCCGGCTTATCTACAGCATGGCTGTCACCAGCAACAGTCTGAAAATAAAGCACCATGACTTGTTCAAAAGCTGTGTTTGTTTTAATAGCAGTGAACACTACAATGTGTTATTGTATTTGGTCCCACTTTATATTAAGTGTCCCTAATAACTGTATAATTACACATGAACAACATATGCAACAACAGTGTAACTACTGATGATTTAGCCAATGTTAAGAAATGCAGCCTATGTAATTACACATGTGTCTCAACTTCAGTTTTGCCTCATGTAATTACACAAGTTTAACTTCTACACAGGAACTTTCCTATAGTGCAGCATTAAAGTTACACTTTAAAATAAGGGGACAGTTCCTGTGTAGTTGTTATGTAGGTACTGTGTAATAATGGAGTGGTAATATAGACATTGCTTTGGGAGAAATGCAACACATTTAATTAATATCATAAAAGTTACATGTTAAGATGAGGGAAATCTGCTGTTCTGTCACAATACAGACTGGTTTAAAGCTGAAACTGGTTACAACTGGTAGCATAAATGCTAGCTAAATGTTAGGAAAGCTGGCAGATACAGTGTAAGTAATGTCTTAATGTAAGTTATTACATACTTCCTTTTACTGCTGCAAAAAAAAAAAAAATCAGAAAAAACTGCTGTTCCAGTGATTACAATGTAAACACAATTATGTTATTACCATTGTGTAATTCCATGAGAGAGAATAGACTGTTACTATTAAGATACACTTGTGTTATTAAATAAGGTGTGCTTCTGTAATCCATCTGTAACAGTGACTAAATCATTAGTAGTTACATTGTTGTTGCATATGTTGTTCACACGTAACTACACAGTTATTAGAGACACTTAATATAAAGTGGGACCTAGTATTTTGCTCTGCCATCACCGTGCCTGCTTTTATTCTATGAACTGTGTGGGGCTGCAGAATTAAGCTAGCTAAAAGCCTTTGTTAATGCTAGCTGACATTAAATTCCCAGACAAGGCCCCCAGTTTGTAATAGCTGGCTAACATGAAACAGCTCACTGTGTCACACGTATGCCAGAGACGTTTTTAGTAATATCATTGTTTAAAAAGGAAAGCAGAATCTAGCATTTGGGTGATCTAGTGACCGCCCAGGGGCACTTAATGGCTGAGGGTACACACTCCAAAATATTATTTTGTCATCGTATTAGATGTGGATTATGATGTTAGTGATCTTAATGAGTGAGATAATCTTTAGTCAGCATGATTTTGATAAGGCCGTAGCTGAGGGGATTTGAGAAGAAACCTCTGGATATGTCTTCAATAAAACTGACAAACACCTTTTTTATAAAACACATAATGCTGGTCCTAAAATTTGAGTGACTGAGCCACATTCGAAGCTGTAAATACTCAATGTACACAAAGACTGCTGTAAAAATCCAGGCTGAATCTCTGAAATTCTGGTTTCTACACCCAAATGGTACATTGTTTATACTACAAGAAATGGTGCACATGTGGCTGAACCCTAAATGGCTATTTGTTAGACATATTATGCTCTGATTGGGTGCAGGACCCATTGTTTTAATTGCTATGTAATGCACTATGTAGGGAGATCCATTTCAGATTTACAGAAAAAGGATGCACAGCACCATCAGCTTGGTGCTGAAAATCTTCAGCATCAGCAGTTGCTACCTCACATTACTTTGCAGAGTGAGCAGCACCAAAGACTCTCCCCCAGGTCTGATTTGATTGACTGAGGCAGCCAACACAATTTTCCACAATGCTAAACAGAGGAGGGTTGCAGTGTCCTCTAATGTTATGATAAATCTCTGGTAGCATAACCAGGGCAGCGCTGGATCAGAGCAGATGCTGTAGCTCCCTCAGTTCTTAGTGTTCTGCTCTTACAATATATTGTGAATTTGTACTAGGAAGGTACTAAAAAACATTTGGGGGGCTTTAATACTGGCCTAGCGACGCTCCTGATATGCATTATTCTGTTATGATGCAAACTGTTTTATTCATACTCAAATCAACATCTGCTACAATGTGCTTTGCACAGTCAGACTTTTTGTTTAATCTGACTGAGCCAAAGGTTGAATAAGAATTTGTTTCATTTGAATTTCATTTGAAGATTTGTTTTCAAGCAGATCCTTCTCTTGTTTATTACCTGCTTATTAATTATAATATGCTACGTTCTGTCTGCTCTACTCAAAAAATGCCACCATGTGTTGAATAAAGTAAGAATGGTAACGGAGGTTCTGGTGAGCCAAGTGCAGTGATCTTTAGGGAAGAAGGTTTCTGTCATCTTTCTTGTTGATTTACGGGGGTGTTAAATGTTGTGGTGCACAGTTCCAGCAGTGCAGTTTTTGCTGCTCTAGCACACCTGAGTCACACTATTAGTTAATTATTAACTTGATATCAATCAAATGTAAACAGGGAAAATAAACAACAAGAGTAGGCAGTGCAGGGTGGAGTCTAGGACTGGGAAACTCAAACACTACCATAAGACATTTTAATTCTTAGGGTGTGTTCAAATCTTTGCACAACAATATCAGTTTTAAAATATAATTCAGAAATGTATTTTTGAAAAATGACAATTGTGAAACATATCTTAATTTTGTCAAGCACAGACTGGATGCTACCTGTAAATGGTGCTCCTTCTTTCCTTAGTCAAAATCATTAACCGTAAAATATACAGCAAACAGCTTTCAAGAAGTTTATATCTAAGTTCAGTTTTTGTGTTAACATAAACAGAAATTCATTAGCATACAATTTTGTGTTATTGAATGTATATTTTTTCAGTGATTCTGTTCATTCATAGTCATTCAAGCCTATCAATGAAAAAAAATAAAACATAAATAGATAATAACATCTGACTCACAATGAGGTATGTAGGTGGGAGCATCACTATATCTGGCTGCTTCACATCAACATATTCATAATGTTTGTGCTTTTAGTGGATGGTCAGATTTACCTCAGACAAATCCAAAGCTATTGTCAATTTTACAGTTTTGGCTTTGGAAATGGGTAGAAAACAACACACTCCACTCTGTCAGGGTCTCAGTATGGAAACTCAGTGTTTTAACTATTACTGTAGTGCTACTGTATCTTATTTTATTGTGATTATACACTATGTAACTGCATTACTGAAGTTATTGTATTTCATTTAATGCGACTATACAGAATGTTACTGTATTGAATTAAATACAAGCATGATGCTTTGAATATTTTAAATCAAAATGATCAAAATGTTACAAACAAGTATTTCTTACTTGACAGAAATTATTTGGCCTAAAAAATCCTGAAGGTTCCCTGCTGATGTGATTTAAACTTCTGAATTACTGCCAAAATCAGTATTTAGTGGATCAGCGATGTGACTGTTATCATTACTGTCAGCCATCAGAGTGAAGAGTAGAGTGAGATTATCTTCAGTTCTTCTTTCTACCCTGATCAGATCACTGTGTGGAGGGAAGAACAGAGAGAGCAGAGATCAGACTGCTTCACTTACTGCCTTTAATCATTACATTACTGCTATACTTTTTATGCAGAATTTTAATGGTCCATTGTTTAATGCTGTTCTGTCACTGTAAGAAGTTTTACTCTGTCATTGTTGTGAGACTCTCAGTCTGTGTGATGGAAAGAGCAGCTATGCAGCTCTTAGAGACTGTAATGAAAAATCTATTTCAGTAAATAGTTTAATATTCTGCTTTATGCTATCAGAATATTATTATGTCTGTTTGCACTTCTCTACAACACATATTACTGAAATTTAAAACATGATTTGTTTGTAAAAAAAATTAATAACCAGAATTTATTTGTGGCTAAATTTTTGTGTACACAAATGCGTTTAGACTTTCTTCATTAAAAATGATAAAGTGACAAACAGGTCTCTTTGAGGCAGCGTCCATACCTGACAGTTACTGTATATGATCAAGTTTCTCTGTGGTTTGTAGCTTCAGAGAGACTTTATAGCTCCATTTAACATAACATGACTAAATAACATGGAAACTACTGAGCTGATAGATTGTGGAGAACAAACAGAAAAGAAAAAGGAGGAAAAACAGCCATTAAAGCCACACAAGCTCTCAGTTTAAGAGGAGTAAAGGAATGA